AGTTTAATTTTTAGAAGTTAACCTAACGCGCCCTTCCTATTGGCTGTCAGGGGGGGGTGTCTGAGCGTCGCTATGACGCAACACTAGCCGCACCCCTCGCGCTATCCTTCCGGAAACAGCCACCCTGATGCAGGTAGCGGACAGTTAGCAGCAGCGGCTCCACACGGTTCATGGTCGGCGTTTGCAGGACTCCCCTCTGACTCGCAGCTAAATCAGCTCGAGTCGGGCTTCGCTGAAGTTGCTTTGGCTCGCTGTCCCTCTCTGTTTACCTGTTCGGCAGCTAACATCATGGCGACCACGGATCCCCGCTTCTCGAGTAACGGCGGGCCCGCCAGCAGAGGAGGGTTTCCCGCAGGAGAGAGCAGCAGCGACCGCGACGGTCCTGGCGGCAGCAGCAGCGGCGGCGGGGAAGGCGAGCGGGAACGGGCCACCTTCGAGTGCAACATTTGCTTGGACACCGCCAGAGACGCTGTCATCAGTATGTGCGGCCACTTATTCTGGTAGGAGGCGGTGGTTTGACTGTGCCTGCCTGGGTGTTTGTTTTTGTTTGGGAGTAGTCTGGCTGCATGGACGGCCTCCAGAGTTACTGCTTAACGCCCAACCATTAACCGTTTAATCCGCTGCTAATGTGGCTCACTAGTTTTAAACAAAACTCTTTATTTATGAAGAAAACTTGTGGGAGCCCATTATTATAGCGCTGCCAGCTGCCTAGAAGAGAGAACATGTGACCACAAGGGAAGTGGTTTCATCATATGATCCGATTTAGATCAAAACATGCTTTATAGATGTTAGTTTTTCCAGATCAAGCTGAAATTTCCCTATAGAAATTGGAAAAAATAAGAATTCGCTTTATTTATGTGTATATTATATAATTTTTAAATCAACTGAAGATGTTTGGATGATTAAAGAAAACATATTTTCTTGAAAAAGGACTTTAACTTAGAGTCAAAACATAATCCTGAGGTGAAGTTGACCTTAGAAAGTAGAAATCTACTTTCTAAAGTCCAAAACTTTAATTTAAAAAATTTGACCAAAAAACAAAATTGTGCAAAAATAGAAGGTCAATCAGAACATAAAATGCCCTGTGGCTCACAAGGTGTAAAACCTTTCTGATTACATAACTCCTGTTTCCTGCATTAATCAGTTTTAATACTCTTGCGAATTTGGTGTTTTTAAGACAACCTTGTGTTTAACACATGTTCAACATTAACAATTAGTATTTTTAATAAACCAATTAAAAACTTTCTCCAACATTAAACAGCTCTTGTCCTACAGCTGTCATTCTAGTACTTTCTCTTATCTCTGACTAGTCTAACCTTGCGCAACGCTGAACCTTTGAACCATCTGTGGAAAATGAAAACATGCTCAGCTATGTGTTAGTCTCATTCATGAGTTGCGCCTGCTCCTGGGCGCAGGTTAAAGCTGAAGAGAGATTATAGCCAAGAAGCAGGATTCGGGTTAGCTCTAATGGTCTAATCCCAGGTAAAAGTCATGTTCCTACACTGTAATACCTTCAGAAGGTTGTGGGTCTATATATAAAGGCATCTAGTCTCTTGTGTCTATTTCATTAACACAGACTTGAAGTGATTTGATCATGGAGGCTGGGTGGCTGTAAGTCTAGATCTGATCTCCTTTAAAAGTTAAATGCTAAGCAGTAAAAATGGAAATCATAAAGTCGTCATCATGTCACATTAAAGCCTAATCAATGCAGGTTGATAAGATAAGGAAATGTTCCACCCCTAAAGATTGACTCGAAGGACAGACTCTTTTAAGCCAGATTTGGTTTATGATTTCCCCAAAAGGATTTTTTTTTATTTTTTTTAGCACATTTGTTTTTTGTATTATTTTTTTGTTAAACGGAAAGTAGTTGAAAATATAACAATATCAGACAATTCTGTACACCCAAGTCTGAAACTTGCATGCATGCATTCAAATATCGGTCTGTCCATCCTCCATCTATTTGTCCATTCAACCACCTTTTGGTTTGTCCATTCATGAATATATCCATCTGTGATTTTCTTTAAGCATTCATCTTATTCTTCATTCACCCATTCAACAATTATCCATCTATCAATCCATATATTGTTCTGACTATATTTTGGTTTCATCCCAACCTTCATCCTAACCTTTGATTAATCCCCTTGTTCATCCATTTCTCTAAACAATATCCATTTATTAATATGCATTTCTGGACGGTCTGTATGATGGTCTTTTTTTCAATGTATGTTTTAAAAAATTAAAAACTTCATCATTAACTTGATTAAGGTCTTGTTTCTACAGTTGGAGATAAATAATGCTCTTAAAAGGAGTTTGGTCTTGCACTTTTCTCTTAGCCCCAATCACAGCCTGTGGCCTTGATAACATTATGTAGTTGGGATGCAGGGAATTTAATATATTTCCAGTAATTTGTGTTGTTTTGACCTGAGTGTGAGTTTTCTTTCCTGCTGGTTTACGAAGCAGGACGCCGCACACTGATGTGTTATTTTGCTGATGTAATGTAGTTGCCATGTCTCCTTAATCCCCTCTGCTCTTAGAAGCTGTATGTAATGTGATGAAACAGTGATGATGAAAGTCATCATCCAGAAGAGCAGGGGTCAGTTCACCTGCTGCAACTTCAAATTAACGTTACATCGGCGCAGGCAAATTGCTTCGCTACAGTCTTAATTAGAGTCAGTCACCTGGGTTTTAACACATGTAGACGCTTGAGCTTAAAACATATTATTTCCTTCGTTGTACTTTTGCAACAAGCGGATTCTCCTCAAACACTCATATACACACACAAAGGATTCTATTATTGTTCTCCACGTTTGCCCTCAGTGAAAATATACTGGGGATTTTACCCCACCTGAGCATCTCTGTGCTTTTATTATGAAAAATGGGACAATTTTAACTGTAAAAACAAACCAATGTGTATATATTTACACCATATATGCATTTAGCTGAATCTAATACATTTAAATGCAAATTTTATTTATGAAAAGCTACTGCTGGGTTATCTGTTTAAAAGAACAATAAAGCAGTGTAAACCCCCCACCACTCCTTTTATAGAAATGATAGTTTTGTCTTTTTAAACTCTAAATCAAATACAAATATCACACTACATAACAAAGGCATTTAGTTTAACACTAAACTTTAAAAGAAAACAGGAACAGTAATTCAAGTAATCTCTTTTTCAGGCAGCTGATTCTAAAATATGTTTTTGATGCAAAAAGATTGACTTCTTCCTCAAATTTTAAATCCGTTTCCTTTTCTAAAAAAAAAAAAAAAATCTACCCATACTTTATTCAAAGCTACTGGAGTTTGTTTTGGTAATGATCCTGCTGGGCATACAGATGCCTGTCGGTTAATAATGCAGATGTAAATTTGTATCTATTTGGCTTGAGCATTGCTAAAATTGAACATATATTTTCAAGTTTTCTTTTTGAAAACTTAACTTTGGGTGTTAAAGAAGGAATCTGTTTAATATTAAACTCTTTTCTCAATTTGCAAAATTTAAACGGTTAGTAAAAATAACCCGTTTATCTGTGTTATCGCTCCATATGTCTATTAGAGGTTTCTTTTATTGTGTTTCAGCTGTTTGATCTCAGCGTTTTGCACGCTGACACAGAGTCGTGCTTTACTTTCTCTTTAGTTCTACACAGTTGGATGAGTTCTGTGTTTTGTTCTTAGCCAACCTGAGGCCATGTGGATCATCAGCTTTGAATGTTTTTGTGATTATGAAAGTGAGTGGAGAAAAAAAGCCCAAAACAAGTCCTGCCAGTTCGTCTACATGAACCAAGTTACTTAATGTAAGTGTGACTCCCGAAGAGTCTGGCTGGTATGGAAACATTCAAAATTTAAACAAATGAAATAAGTATTAAGGCATGATTCCAATGTTGGGAAATATATTTTTAGCTAAATTCAACTACCGTGCTGCTGGATTCATGTTAATCTTCTACAATTTCATGCATTTTCTTGAAGGGCTTCGCCGCAGAAAACATAATTTAATCAGCTAGTCTACCACAGGGTGTATTTTAAGTGAGATACCAACCATTAAGATTGATAAAACAAATCCATTTCATTTGCAGCATGTTCAAACACTGGAAAAACAATCTAAATTTCTTAAAGTGTATTTACCCTTAATTTGAGTAGGCAAATGAGAGGATTTGCCAATGGAATTAGTATTTTTATTCTTAAAATAAGATAATTAGATAATATGCACTTGAAATAAGACAAAGTAATTGTGCTTTCTTATTTTAAGTGTAAATTGTCTTGTTCCATTGGCAAAATGTTTTTTTTTTTTTCTCCTCAATCCAAGAACAAATGCACTTATTTTAAGAAAAAAATTACTTATCTAGATTTCTTTTTTCCCAGTGCAGCCATTCACTGCAGGGTATGCACATACTGTTAGGCCCTATAAGCACTAAAAAGGGGTGGTAGTTCGATCTCTGGTTCCCCGGTCAAACCTTCCCCTCAGCTAGGCCCTTCTAACCCACCTTACTCGGTCTACATATTGGTGTATGGATGCATGTTGTAGAGTGCCGTTTGCTCAATGTGGCTCTGGCCTAAATCACTTTAAGTGATCACGATAGTAATATAATGACTCGTTAGGCATGGTTAAGAAAATAATCTCTTAATTCTTCCAGCATATCAGCTGTAAACGTGTCTAAAGATGAATTAATATGATTCATTGCAGACATTTTATAAGTCACTTGAAGGGAGAGCTCATCATCCCTCAGCTGTGGTATCAAGCTGTCATTCAGCTCTGCACAAAGACCTAATAAATAAAGAAAACCCTTCAACACATTATTATTATAAAGGATTTCCAACATTGACTTAAAAATACACATTCTTGGCTTAGAGTAAAGTTGCACTAAGTTTTTACCTTAATATATCCTCCTCTAAGTCCCTATCAGGGTAATTGTGTTTGAGTGAAATGATTGAGTGACCTGTCACCTCCCACTACTGATTCTGGTTGGAAGAACAGCTTTACTGCAGCCCAGTATGAAACCTTTGGCATCAATAGCCACGCACCTAGCGCTTAATAATTCATGTCCAGAAAGTAAAACCCTAACCCTAACCTGCCAAGTGGACAGGAAGAAAATAACTATTTGCTGTCATATATTTGTAAAGAACATATTTCACTAAGGCATTATGTTAAATGCAAACAAATGTTATGTGGTTTTATTAATGTTGTAGTTTTGAATTTCATTAATTTTCATTCAAAAAAGTGCAAATGCAAAATACTTTTATTTAATAAAGTGTGCATTAAAAAAAAACAATAAAAAAAACGCAAACTATTTCCATGTGTTATATTGTCCATAAATAAAACTGTAGCCTTTCTTCAATTGGCATGGGTGGTACAAAACAATAATTTAATCTGTGTCTTTGTGTTGATATAGCCATTTGTGCACTCTGGCTGTAGCAGCGGTTGTTTCCAAATCCAGTGAATGTGGCCTTTAGTGGATGCTCTTCAGTGTCATAGATGTACAGCCAGTTACATATTGATCACATCTAGGGCTGCAACTAATGATAATTTTGCAAATCGATTAATCTGTCAAATATTTTGTTCATTAATTGATTAATAATCATATAGGAGAAGGTTCCTAAAAGAAGATGAAATCAAACCAGAGGAAACTAACTTTTCCACTTGAGGAGTTCTGGATAGCGCATATTGACAGACGCAAAAGTTTTTTTAATCATAATTTTTAAAAATATTTTTGGTATAATTACTGCTCACCGTGGGTTGCTATGTCAACTAAAGACATGTTTTAGAGTCCCCATACTCCAGTTAATGAGTAATCACTAAATTAGTTGACAACTGTTTGAATAATCAATTAATCATGATTAATCCGAATAATGTTTTCAGCCCTAATCGTGTCTGTTCTCTTCTGTGTATTTTCTGCACACTGAGCAGCTCATTAGCTTAGCATCATCATTATAAATAAGCCAATCTCTTACGAAACTGTTTTAATAAACATCTATGCAGTGAGAGTTAGAATGTGCAGAGGGCAGTCAGTGTTTACAACAGTGCTATTTTCATAAGGTCCTGTAGGGGGAGCACCACTCAATTTTTTTTGTGATGCTTTGTGTAACTTAGATCTTAGGTTTATTTTTAACAAATTTATATATAGTTCGTGATGATACAATAAACTTCATGTACTAAGTTTGTTACCTGGTCTTCCTACATTAGAAAATCGAAAATATGTCTGACCCTGTAAGGGTAATTTCTGTTTGTTACCTAACAACAACGTTCATGTTTAAGGGGAGCTTAGACTGCTGTTGTAGGGACCAGATCTGTTCTGGTCGAGTGCATGCCATTGACATCACACTATATAACCAGCTGAATGTTACCACAATGATGCAAGGCATCCTGTTGCCCGGACAACAATAATAACATAACGCAGCGTCTGTGTGCCGCGTCAGGAACATTGGTAATGTTAGCGTGTCCAATGACTGATGAAGTGTTACCTGATCGATTACAGAACTGAAAAATGATGTTAATGGGAAAAGAAGTAACTGTTAAAACCTGGTGTAATTGGGGAGTGCTGTGGCTAGCTGCGCCAGTAGCTAATAGGTTGGCCTCTTTTAGCTTAGTCAGTTACCCGTATCAAGCTACTCTACTTAGAGTAGCTGTTCTTTTCTTTGTCTAAAATCTCCACGAAAGTAATTTTTTAAAATATTCCATTTGTCTTCCTCTGCCCTAATATCTTAATAAAAAGAAGTACTGAGACGTTTGGGTCTCATAAAGTCAGAGAACTTGACCAAAGCACTTTACAAAACATTCAGTCATTCAGTCACACACCCACAAGCTGACTGTGGCAAGCTACACTCTAGCCACAGCTGCCCTGATTGTTTCTACTTTCAGTTACCTTGGGTCGCCAAAGAAACAACAATAATAACAAATATAAGTAATAGGTTTAATCTCCAGATATTTCATTCTTAAGAATACAAGGATACCATACAGTTTGAGTGGTGTTGCCATCTTGTAGTGTCATCAGCAGGGGTGGGGCCCCGAGCAGATCTGGTACCTACACCGCAAAGCGGTGCTCTGGATCACACCATCACTCAGTGATGAATCAGACCTTATCAAGTAAGAGCCGTCTGTATGGAGTATCAATGCGCAACATTTGATGTATATTCACCTGAAAAATCATATACCTCAAATTAAGCTTTTAATTAATCAGATTATATGAAATATTTGAATCATGCTCATTTATTTTTTTGAGAGGAAAAAAAAAAAAAGAGTAGCAGGATGATGGCACAAATGTCTAAGAAAATGTGATTATAATAAATCCTGTCTGTCCCTTGTAATTCACCTTTGAAGCCGACCCAATCAGAGGGATTAAGGATAGCAGAAATTACAGATTCCTTATGAATTTCTAGATAACATTCTGCTTAAGGTTGATGTAGTGTCCTCACCCAGGTGTGCAAATTCCATTGAGGGAAAGCTCTGCTTTTCCAAATGCTCTACAGAAAACCAACAAGAAGGGGAATTCTGCTATGGGTAATACACCTGACCTAGTTCTAACTATTTTTAGTCAGGTTTTCAAGCTTTCCCCTCCAAATTTGGCTTTTGTTGCTCCAAGAACAAGTGTACGTATTGCCTGAAGAATCTGTCAGGTATGCATGTTCTCATTGCACATTCAGCTGGTGAGAATTTTGTTTATGCATCTGACTAGGGGGATGTTTGAGGGCTCCTGTTGGCCTGGGTGTGACCCAAGCTGATTATACCTCCAAAAAGCGACAGGAATTTTGTCAAAACATGGTAAAATTATAGGAATATTCTACATTTTATCTAAATCTCAACCTTAACTGGCTCCAGTGAGTAATTTCTCTTAGCTGCTGCATCTCGCATCCACCGAATGATAATATAGAATACATAAAATAGGTTTTTAAGACGCCTTCTCCCGCAGGTTTTTACTGGGTATTGAATTAATTCACGTGAAGAAAATATGTTGATCTTGCAGCACAACACTCTGCTGGGATTATAGACTCTCTTCACTGACACTGATCTGATACTTCAAATGAATTTTCTGCAGGAATGTTTGCAGCAATGATGTTGCAGCTGAGATTTAGAGAAAATAAAGTTGTTTGAATGTGAATTAATCTCAGTTTCCTTCTCTTTCCAGCTGGCCCTGCCTTCATCAAGTAAGTGCCTGCATTTCTGCCTGTTTTATAGCTAACCACTCACACGGTTGGAGAATTAGGACTACTTAATAGTGAAGTATAGGGAAAAGGTCCAAACATAGGACATTTCAGGTTAGTTTGGTTTTATAGTGTGTGGAACGGTTAGAAACATGATAGCTTTAAGTCAAAGGGAAGTTTCCACAGAAATCAGATTTTTGCTGTTTTTAATATTATATCCTTGATAGTAACAGATCTGGTCCATTGCTATCAGAGAAAATCAGGAATATTTAGGCTGAAAATGGGTCAGTTTCTGGTTGGATCTCTGCTAGATTTGAATATAGGGTTGACCTTACCTGCATGATAAATATCAGTGTGGATTTGCATTTGAATTTCCCTCCTAAGCAGATCTTTCCTGCTCGGAAGAACTCTAAATGTTCCTTTTTAAACCATGCTTTGTTTTTTTTTTTTTACTTGTTCTAAATCATTCTTGTCTTTCTGCCATTTGAAGTGGTTGGAGACGCGGCCCACCAGGCAGCAGTGTCCCGTCTGCAAGGCGGGCATCAGTAGAGAAAAAGTCATCCCGCTCTACGGCAGAGGGAGCTCCAGTCAGGAGGACCCCAGGTATGCTGACGTGCCTCTCAGTGTTTGGTTCCATTGTTCAGACGCTGTTTGAGCCTCTTTTCTTTTCTCCTCAGGTTGAAAACTCCCCCTCGGCCTCAGGGACAGAGAACAGAGCCTGAGAGCAGAGGAGGGGTGAGGCTCCTTTGTGTTGATGGATCAGTTTCCTAAAATCTGTTATCACTTTAAAATTTTTACTAATGGGTTTCCTCCCTGTGCCCAGATGTTCCCTGGTTTTGGAGAAACAGGCTTTCACATGTCTTTTGGGATCGGTGCGTTCCCATTCGGCTTTTTCACCACAGTCTTTAATGCCAACGACCCCTTCCACAGAGCAGGTAAAGGCTTTCACACTGGTTTTACTGGTGCAGATCCGACAGTCCTTTTAGACATTTATTTTTGCATATTGTTTGAAGTTTAAAGAAGAATTTTCTTTAAACTCAATTTTTTTTTTCGATTTAGATTTTCCTCTAACAGAAAAATGTTTGCAAATATTATCTTAAACATTTTTTTCTTCCATAAACATTTGTTTAAATTCAAATATTTGTCACCTATAGCTTTTTGCAAAAGTCTTCCCGTTAAATGTTGTATTTAAAAATGACTTTGCGCTATTTGTGTTGATCTGTCACACTGAATCCTAACAAAATCCAAATTTACAAGAAGTATTAATCCTCCTGCATGGCACTTATTACATATGGGATGGTTTAAGTTGACATTTTAGCAGAAGTTGTAACATGCTATCCTTATAATCTCTATGTTCAGACCAGTATGCAGGGGATCACCAAGGCAACGGTAACCTCAACAATGGCAACAACAACTGGCAGGACTCCCTCTTCCTGTTTGTGGCCATCATCTTCTTCTTCTGGCTGCTGAGTGTGTGAGGACGAAGGCTGGGAAGGAGGAGCCCAAATACACAAATAAAAAACAGACTGGAGCCACTGACACTCACACACCCACACACACTTTTTCATTATGTAACCTGAGCGAGTGTGGAGAGTCTGATGCTTAGAGAAAACAAGAAATACAGGTTTTCTCCTCCTTACAAAATTAGATCACTCCACCCCAAACACACACCTGCTGTATTAATGTAGTTTATGCAACACTCTATCCCAACGTAATTCACAGTCTAGGGCCACACAGAGGGGGGGTATGTTGACTGTTCAGTGACAGTATTAAATGTTCAGGGTGAGCCGTTTGAAGCCTTTCTCTTTAAGCTGTAGATGGAAACACGACCAATTTAGTGCTTATGGGAAAAAAATGTATTCCTCAAATATGGAGGCAATTAGTGGAGCAGGAACAGGTGGGATGGGTGGTGTAGACTCCTCCTGTTTACAGTTTCTATTTGTATCCAGAGCAATTATAAAACACTTGTCACAGCTGACTTGTTTTGTTCTTCCTGTTTGTGTGTAAACATAATATATTTGTATATATGAATATTGTAAATGCTGTTTTTATGTGTTTCTGACTGGCTGATCTGCCACAGGGAGGTAGCAGAGGATTGCTGACATGTGGACGCCTTCTGTAAAGCTAAAAGTGATCTGGATCCTGTTTCTTCCATTAAAAGCAAAACATCTTCCCTGTTGATGTGAATAATGAGGCGGAAGGGGTTGAGGTTTCCTCCTTTTTACTGGAAAAATAACTGACACAAAACGTGTGAAGAAACTTTAGAGTCTCCATATGATGAACTAGAGCTGCACCGGTCAGAAGCCAAATCTGATTTTTTTTTTTTTTTCCTTGAAGGTCTGACCAGGTTTATTGTTTCATAAATGTTCAGATTTCCCTTAAAGAGGCAGTTCCAAATGTAACAAGATTTCCACATGCATACTTAAAATCCAGCTTTGAGTTTAATTAAATTTGATTTAAATTACATAAACTGAAAATAGCTGAAGGTTTTTAGTTATAATGGATTCATTATGTATGTAAAATGTTATGTTTTTGACCCGATTATAAGTGAGATCTGATTAAGGAAAAAGAAAATCAGTGGTTTGACCGGCACATCTGTAATTGGAGCATAACCTCAAATTTACCAACCTGTTAAATATGGAGCTTGTATTTAATCCAGTAGCTTTTCAATAAATCGAGTTGCGGGTCAGAAATGAAACTGAAGTTCCTCTGTGGTGTGGACAGGTTGTCCACCGGGGTTCGTCATCTTATGTATTTGTCTTTGTATTGAGGGGCTAATGTGACACTAAAACGAGTGATTGAGGTCTCATCATGCGAATTCTTTAAACGGACTAAACATGGAGGCTGTTGTGCAAAACCAAATGTTCTTGGAGATTAAACTTGTTTGAAACATTGTTTTGTGTGATTAAACTTATTTTGTTTTTTCCAAGACTTTAACACCCAACAGGAAATTATTTTACATTTAGTTGCTGTTTTGCAGCATATTAACGTTAGTTTTTTTTCCTTTTCATTTAAAGAAATTATTAAAGCAATGTCCAGCATATAGAATATTTAGGGGCTAATTTTGCCCATGGAGCTTTCTTAAGAGAAGAAAAACAGATTGGTCTGGTAGATGTTCCAACTTTGCCTCAGTCAAAAGCTGCCAAAATAAACTCTGAAAACCAGCAACAGGCTCAACGACAAACAGTCCAGACAGAGGGCTAATTTTGCTACATCTACCACGGTTTTTCTATCATGGCTAAAATGTTATTTTCAAATCACAGAGACACTAAATTTTAGTCACATTACATTTGACAAGAGTATATATGGGAGTGTTGCCTAGTGGCTAGAGCAGTGCGCCTGTGCTCTGATAAGGTTGCAAGTACCCGGTTCGATCCCTACAGCCTCCACTCTGGGTTCCTGACCAAAACCCTTAACCCCACACTACTCCTGCACAATGACAGCCCACTGCTCCCCAATATGGGATGGGTTAGATGCAGAGGTAATGTGAGATCATCCACGGTTTCTCCCAAGCGGGGTTGCGAGGGGTGCTGGTGCCTATCTCCAGCTGGGCAATTTGCAGGGTACACCCTAGACAGGTCACCATTCCATCGCAGGGCAAAAAAACATTCAGACACACTCACACCTAAGGAGAATTTAGAGGACAATTAACCTAACAGTTATGTTTTTGAATGTTAGATCAATAAAGTTCAATTATATTATTATTATAAGACACCAAATTTCTTATTCTAGGCCTTTATACCGTGGTAATGTGTTAAAGGTGGGTTTGCCGCCTCACAGAAAGGTAGAGAGTTGCAGCTAACATGCAGATCCATGCATGTGAGTAGAAGTAAGCACTTTTTTTACACAAAGATTACAGTACAGTCCTGGAACAATGAACTCTGGACAAACAAGCTTCCGAGGTCAGAAAAACTGAAACCCTGGGATAAAGTATCTACAGTTCTAGCTTGTGGTTGGAGCAAATTAAAATTGTAATAAGATTACAATATTGATTAAAAATAATTGCAATTTTGATTTTTGGCAATAGTTCAGCCCTAGTTTCTGTCCTGAAATAGTACTACATAACTTTAGGAAAATATTAGTATTTCTGAACCCCTGAAACCAAGTTTTTCTTTGTCGTCTTCGATGCCATTTCTATGAATGAACACCCACGTGTTCATTTACAGAGGCGTGGAAACTCTTAGCCTTATATGGAATAATAGGGGTGGTTTACATTTCTGGGATACATGCCGTCAATTACGCTCAGGTGGAGTTCATGACGTTTACAAGGATTAATTACGATCATTTTCTGAAGTTAAGGACATTTGCTGAACCTGACGTGTTGAGTTTGTAAAAGCCCATGTTAGGAGAAAAAGAGAAGTTTAAGACAAGAATATGAAAATGTTGCTGCATGAGGCCCATTGTCTGGAATTCCATATTTGTTATGGTCCAATCCCATTTATCCCAACATCCAAACATAAATTGTTTTCTACCAAGCAAACTTAATTTTGTTCTTCCATTTATTCAGTTATTCTGTCAATCCACTTCTGCCTTTCAATCTCTTGGCCCAACTATCCATCAATCCATTTAATGCACCATCTGTGCATCATTTGCACATTTATCTGGCCCTGCAGGCATCTATCCATCCACCTATTATTTCACAGAACATTAATTTTGCAGGTTAAAGCTTAATAAATAAATATTATAAAATTTATACATAAATTTATCTTTGAATAAGACCTTAAAAATAACCTAAAGCAGGACTTACAAGCTCAGAAAAGTGAGAAATTTTAATAAGAAAAATATGCAGGAGTCATTCAGTGAATAAAGGGGAAATACTGAATCAGAAAGAACAAAATGAATTTGTAAAACTAAAAGATTGTTAAAAAAGAAAAGGCTTATTAAAATGTTGGCTGATATATACAATTTTATTATACATTTCTTATTACAATCAATGAAGTGCATAAAATGCAGTGTATAAAATGACAACTTTAAAAATAGCATCTAAAAATACCCTGCATTTATCCTCTTTTCCTTTAGTTGTATAAAAAATCCCATCATAGGAGTTTACTTTAAATGTTACATTGAAAAAAGCAATCTGATGTGAGTGTAAAAAGTCTAAAGCTGGTCATTAAAGAAAGAAATGTGCTGAATTTAAAGATTATCTTCAGATAAAGGTAAATATATCAATTTGGAACAGTTATTCATATTAGAACTTCACAAATATAATAAAATACTAATTAAACGGTGCAAAAAGCATTTATCTTTTGGTAAACGTATTAAGGGAGGACAAAACAGCAGAAGGAAACATTCTAACTATCAAATGAACTCAGTTCATTGTGTTTTTTGGTCATTTTGCCTGTTTGTTGGATTTGTTGAGAATCTTCATGAGGTTTTTGGACATATAGTAAGGCTTCTGCAGGGATCCGTCATTACGCTCCAAGTCTTCCACTGTGATAACAGCAGTCAAAACAAAACAGGTTTTATTAGTCACCTTTAATAAACAGCAACCTATATAGGTATTTGGTCTTTCTGTAAAAAACATTTATAATTAATCTTTTAGCACAGCGGCCCTTTTCACAAAGGTTTACTATGTTTTCCACACTTGAAATATGAGAAACTGAGTTTTCAAAGAGAGTTTTCTCAACCTCTGATTTAGAGACAAACAGCATGAGTAGTTGGCTCATTAGAGGTGAATACAGCAACATAAAGAAAAAGGGAAACATGCATTTTGCAGAGGGGCCTCTACCAATTCCTTCTGCATTTCCCTCTATGCCTGAACTGCCAACTCTGTTAGAACCTGACCAGTGGTTTCACTTCACTGGTATATCCTCATTTCCAGTTTGCTTTGGAATGACGCCTCTTGGTTCAACTGCTGTTATGGCCCAAGTGATTCTGGTAAAATTTATTATGATAACAATAGTAATAAATTTAATAGATACTGATTTAATAGATCAGTAAAAGAAGTGAGTGCAATACATTAGGAGAGCATTTGGAAAGCAATTAAAAAAACTGGAGCTGTGCAAATTCTCAGTCATCTGGGTCATGGCAACTACAAAACGGAGGAAACTAGACTTTTGCTCAGATTTGTCTTTGTTAGTTCTGCTTGCGCTACGGGAATTTGTTTAGGTCCGAAGCACATTCCAAGTCAGATGCAAATTAAAGAGCAACCCAGGTATGGCTTTGGTGTCGAGTCATTTGGCTTGAGCAAAAGTCTGGTTTCCTTCAATTTAAGTCTGTTTTGTGGGTACAAAGAAAGGGTTTCAAGCCTGGTAAAATCCCCATGACTTACTTAATGTACTTTAATAAAAGTAGAAGCTTTTAATATATTGAAACAAGATTTGTTTTAATGCATCTTTATCAGCTATACCACTAAATGTGGAGCAAGCTATGATATGTTATTCTCCATTCTTTGTTGATGCCTTTGGAAAGATGAAATGTTGTCTGTGTTAATAACTGATGGCCGTGATGAAATTATGACCAGTTTACTTACAGAAGCAGAGGAAGAGAGTGTCAACACACATGTTGTACACGCTGAAGAAACCATGGGCTACGAGATAGCTGCCAAACACCACGGTCTGAAACAGAATAACACATGTCAACAAAAAAAAAGAAAAAAACACAAGTGGAAGATTTAGAAAGGAAGATGAAGACAAAATAAACATAGACTGATTAGTGGCTTACAATAATAGGCATCCAGTAGTAGTTCAGATTTTCAGAGCGAAATGTGTTGCCTGGGAGCTGAATCCGACCAGAGAAGAAAAAGAACGACAAAACACCTGAGGAGAAAAACCAAAACACATTCAGCTGTCAGATCTCCAGTCCCTTCAGCTCCAAATGAATTCTGAGGCCCCATGGAGGAGTTATCAATGTGCTCTAGTAACTTTAGTAGGCCAGCAACTCTTAGGAAAGTTTGCTACTGCTTAATGTCTTCACCATGTGGTGACCATTGGAGTCCTAAAGCCTCAGAAATTGCTTTTGTAGCTTAGCTGGTCTTATGTTAATGAATTTAATTTAATTACTTTAAATCAGGGCTTGAGTTGTTATTTTTTGAACCTTTTTTTTTTTGCCTACTCATGCCGTCACACTGATTCTATTTAATTAGTTTGACTTCACGTGTTTGGATGGGTCTTTTTCCTGTTTCACAATAAAGTTTTTAAGAGAGGGTTACCTCATTATCACAAAGAACCAAGTTAGTATAGATATCTATTTAAAATCTTTGGAGAATTACTTTTTAGATTTACTTTGGTTGTCGGTAGCTTATACTAACATTTGAAACATTGTGGTGGGAAAAAAGAAAGATATTACAGAAACCTGCATGATTTATTGCAGATTATTTTTGAAAGTAGTGTAAGCATGAGGTCTAAAAGCTACTTTTGCTCTCAAATGCAGACCTCAGCGTATGTAGCGTGTAAGAGAGCAAAACCTTTATATCTAAGCCTCTAAGAGCAGGAGCGGTGACTTTTCTGTAGCCACTGGTACCATGACACATGAACTAAGTTCATATCAGACTAAAATCCCCTCAATCTGCAGGGTTGCCTTTAAAACATCCTGAAATAAAGCTGATGCATGCTTGCAGTACAAGTGACCTCCTCACCTACTCCACCGACCACAAGCAGTTTTCCAAAGAACAGCAGAATGTCAGTCACTTTATCGAGGACCACCACCCTGTGAGATCAACCACAGTCATAAATAAAACTAAAAAAAAATAAGTCAGAAGCAACTAGAGTAAAATACAATGTAAAAATCCACAAAAAATAGGCAAAGTGGGTGAAATATAATGTATAACAGGTAAAGGATGTTACAGGAGAATTGCATAAAATGAATATGCCAGTGAAAATAGGTGGGTTTTCAGAGCAGATTTCAAAATGGTGGAAATGGGCTTATTGGATGATTTTAGTGAGACTGCAGCACAAACCTTATGATATTTCTCATGAGCAGACTGAAAGCATTTTTGGCAGAGACACAGAAGTTCTTCCCATAAACAGCAATCTGACAAGAAATGAATTGTTTATAAAAAATAAAAAAAACAGTTATTTGCGGTGTTATTTCTGAAAATATTGTTGGTCCAATGAAAATGACTATTTGTAGTGAGATCAATCTGTTTGATATTTAGACAAACTGTTCTATTACAGTCAGAAAAAGCTGCAGACGCAGTTCCTACCATAATGTAGGCATTCCTGTTGAGGAACTTTATGAACTTCTCCAGACACCAGAAGCAGCACTTCAAGCAGCACAGTAAGAAACGTGCACAAGGATTTTGTGCCGCTGGAGATGAAACATTACAGAAATAGAAGAAAATATCACTGTAATTGATCTTTGGTCTGAAAATAGTCCCAAATAAACACATCTCAATTTCTTATTAAATAACAATTACCTAACATCATTTAGTAACAGCAAATTAGCTCATGATATCATTTAGAAAGTGTCATGTTTTTTTTCTGATCAGTTATAATGCTAAGATGAATTGAAATGGACTTACACTTAGTCTTGTGGTCGATGTACTCAAGTATAATCCTCACAATTTGAACCAGAGTCAGGATTAAAGCACCAAATGCTAGAGAGCCCACATGGTACCTACAATAAAAGAAGAAACATTATGCCTCACAGCTGATATGCAAAGAAGTATAACAACTACACTGGGACACCAGTCAAACTTATGCATAGTACATCGATTTGCAAAGGCTTCTTAAAGCACTGTAAGTTTTAGCCACTAGGGACACTAGACCTGTAACTTCCATGTGTAGCGCCCAAGACACATAGACACAAGAACTCATATACTGGAAAATCTAAAATATGTCTGGACAGCTAAATGTTAGAACTGTTTTGTTGCCAAACAACAGCATTTAAGGGGAGCCCAGACTGCCCTAAAGCATCTCTCTAGGTCACACAACCCATTTAGCAACTCATTTAACACTCTCAATTTACATAGGTGTGTTTCTGCATAAGGCAGCCTGCACAGACAATCGACACACACATAGTGCTGTCTATTTACCTGAAAAATCATCTCAAATGATGAAATGGAGTTAAACGTTGGTGAAAACATACAGCTGCTTTAAAGTCTAAGAAAACACACTAATCTTTTTTTCTATCCCAACAAACAGGCAGACTTTATTGCAATAATTAAAAAACTAGATCAATTGTTCTTCAGCCTTTATGAAAGCTTCCAGGTTTCTTTTTGAACTTTGGCTGCTTTCTTACTACTTTTCTGTCCAGTCATTAACTTTTTGAAAACCTTTGGACATAATGAAGCTTTTTTATACCAACCCAGCTATAAGGAAGGATGGCTAATTCACACATTATTAACATAATTTTATTTCCAATTGAACATAATATTTAAGTGCATGAATAGTGGTGGTGTGGAGCTTAAAACACTTGATAAATTAGAGTCACAATATTTCACCCACAGGTAATGGCTTAGTTGTTGGAGGTGCACTCAGGCCTTTTTCAGGTGGTTATGCAAACATGTCTGTTCTTGGAAGCACAGCTTTCATGTCATGTATATGCCACTCCCTTGGTTTTAACACCACAGTAAAAGCTGAACACTGATACCACAGATACTACAAGGTTTAAATAAAAATACATCAATAAATACATTTGCAGTTAAGAGCAAAAATATAAATTATTTCTTGACAGTATCCGTTTTTGCAGAAATGGCTGACTTGGTGAACCCTACCGTCCTCTTATTACACACTGACTGATACAGGTTTTTTAGGGGTGATACCAGTAATGGTTAATCAGTCTGACCGACACCCAACATGGGCTGCCTATTTTTTGGGGCAGATTCTTTAAGTCAATATCATTTTTACTTCCTCCATTTTGAAGATAAAAATTAAAGAACAACAAACTATTTTTTAACAGAACTAAGATAAAGTTCAAACCAGATAGCAGAACGAGGGAGTGCAAATACATGCGTCTTACGTGATTTCAAATCATTGCTGCATGCACTAATGAAATGGCAGATACCGATACAAAGCACTAGTATCTGCCCCCCTCGATTTATCGGTCTGACTCAACACCCAACCGTCCATCAACACCCCATAAATATAGAGTAATACACTCCAAATTGACTGAACACATAAATCACGAACAGAAAACAGTGCAAACTTTAGAGATTAACTAATTTTGTCATCTCTGTTTGGTGCCAAACATTCGCCGGCGCTCTGGGACGTAAAGCCAAGGTACCAAAAAAAAAAAGGTTATAATGTTATTAGGTGAAGCTCTCCAATAAATTACAAAAAAATCTTTATTTATTCAAATGTAAAAATACTTAAAGAATATTTCCTTTACTTTCAAAGGATGATAATGTAACTAATCTAAAAGGAAATAACCACATTATACTTTCTTTGGTGCAGAAACCTGTATGACTTGACTTCAGCTCATCTGCATACCTGATAGCACGCATAAAGCTGGCACAGACTGGAAATGTGGGGATGTCGCCTGGTTTGTTGTAGGCCCAGTAATAGGAGGCGAAGGCCCCCGCCAGCGTGCACTGCCCCAGGGCGATGACAAAGTTCACACACCACAGGAAAGCAACAGCATTGTAAATCTGCAGGTTGAACATGTTCCTCTGGAAGAGACCCTCCTCGTTGTAGTTGATAAAGATGCAGCTGGCTGAAGGGCATGCAGAGTATTCTGATGAGTTGAAAGTCTGACAGGAAAAGCAAAGCAAAGATCTGTGAAGTTACTGCTAAAATTATATCCTGATATTACCGCAAAGAAAACAAGATAACATGTGTTCCAACCTGAGGGTCACAGGTCACAGTGCCGTTGATAGTCTCACAGCCAGTAATGGTGGAATTTAAAGCCACAACTTTGTAGACGGGCTCTCCTGAAGTTGCCAAGTATCTGAACATATCAATTCAGCAAAGCTAACACTGGAATGTGGATCATAAGGTGATGCTGAGCACTTTTGGGAATAAGCATTTTTCCTAAAAAAAAAAGTTCAAGGATACACAGCAGTGGCTCCCCAGTAGGCAACACACACCAGCAGCAGAACAAATGTGACCAGAGGGTACGTCAGCGAAGACATCATGTGACCAATTGCTCTGCAGAGGAAACATGTTCGGCAGGAGTTTATAGCTTTTTAATATGACCAAAATGGGAGGTTACTCAGGCCGAAATAGAAACAGACCAATTTGTCTCTCAGTTGCACCTGTTTTCTATTGCTGTTATCCATGTGGAGTCCATGGGAACATAAACTAAACATGGATAACAGACGAAAATCAACAACTTAACCAATGGTCTAACTTACTTGCTTGACTCCTGAATAAGAGCAATCGCTATCAGGATTCTGGTTCTGAGGAAGATGAGGGTCAGGAGAATGATGGCCTCCACCACAGAAAGTATTATCACTGAGGATCAGAATTACAGATATTATCCAGACTCCTCATCATTCACAGCTGCACAACATTACACCAAACATTACTAAATGTAGACATGATTTTCATTTTAGAGACCCATCTTTTTTCAGCATATACTATGAAATCCTGTTTTTTTTTTCTGAAGACCATTAATAGACTTGTTCCAGGTTACTTACCTGACTTCCTAAGTTACTAATTTTCATCTGAGCACATTCATGTTAAAATATCAAAGATTGCCCTCACTGCTCCAGACAAACACAATATGCATTAACATCCTGCTGTTTTTACAGTTTTTTCATTCTTTAAAACAACAAGATGCACACTGCTTTATCCTGAATATAAATTTTTTAACAACCAACAATAATGCAGTAAAGTTTGTGTATTTCGGCATGCTTCCATTTGAATTTCAATTTGCAACTGGTGCCTCTGAATTTCAATATAAAGTATTTCTACTCTATTTTTACTATGAAGAACCAGTAGCAACAACTGTCGGCTCTGTGTCAATTTAAGAGGATTGAAAAATCTTAAAAAGCTAGCCAGCAAACAACTTGTTTTAACTCGACATTTTTGTACTGGTATTTTCTATGCTAAAGCAAAAATTTTGATATGATGGTTTGCCATATTGATCAACCCTGAGTAGTCCATTTTATAAATCCATTGATCTCACAACCTTATGTTGCTGCTAACTGAAATAAATCAAAACAGAAGTCATATTTAGACATAAGAAATGCACAAAAGGATCTTACAAAAGGCTAGCCAGGTCTCTTGAACTTGCAGATAGACCTTAAAGTCTGTTGTAAAACCGACATCGTGGATGGTTGCAGAAGTTTGTTTGTAGTTATCATATTCCCAGTAGCAGTGCCATATCCCTGCAAGGGAAAAGTGGGAATGAAGCAAAATTTCTAAACATGTCTGAGTTGGATAAAAAAAATTTAAATCTTACTCAATACTTAAAACAAAAGAATCGCAACGCATCTCAACATATTCAGAGACTACAGCATCTTGTTAAATCTAGAAAAATAGATTAAAATTACGCTGGCAATAATAAAAAACAATTGCATTTAGACAGGATTCACAATCTAAGAACTCAAGGATTCGTCTAGTAATGAATCAGCTGAGGTTTTACCATAAGCACCAGCTCCCAGGAGTGCTATGATGAGCAGCCACACCATCACTGGAGCCGTGAACCTCAGCAGCAGCAGGAACAGCAGACTGACCAACATGGCTATCACTAAACCACTGAAACAGTAGCAGCAGGAAGAAACTGGTTAGAGACTAGAACAGAACCTGAGGGCTTTAAATATCAATCAAACTAAAATGCTTTATTTCACTAAAAATTGAAATAGGGTGCATATATGGATGGAATTACAGGGATGTCTATAACAAAAACACGTAGTAAAAATTAATAATTAGCCTTATCTAATGTAAATCTATACTTTATTTCATTCAGTACAATCTTATGGTTTAAAAATATTATCAGCACACACCATAGGTTTTTTATGGAACATTTTATTCTTATTTTTAATACTTTTTTATTGTTAGGAAGCTTAATTAAAAGTGTTTGTTCATATTTTGCACATGATGATGAACTGACAAAAACTCATGAAGCACCAGAATATCAAAGCAATAATCACTACAGGTTTTAGCATAACTATCTTTTTTTTTTTTTTGGTAATACTGATGTATAATTCAATCAGAGAAAATTAAAATGGCTACAAAAATGTTGAATGGCAAATTTTAGGCAACTGTCCTGGTCAGATATTATTGTATTTGTCACTTCTTCATTCAACTCTTTAGAAAAAGTTCCACACTGCAAGCTTGAGAAGATAGTACTTGAATAGATAATATGAAAAGCTGAAGTGTGACAAGAAACCTTCTAGGACATTGTCAATACACCTAAACTGACTGGAAGAGCATTAATTAGGGAGGGAGTCAAGGGGACCCTGGTAACTCTGGAGGAACTGCAGCGATCCATGGCTCAGGATGGAGAATCTGTTGGTAGGACTGCACAAATTTGGCTTTTGTGGAAGAATGATTAGAGAAAGTCTATTGTTGAAAAACAGCAGTAAGAAGTTTTTTTTTGTTTGTCTGTTTTCAATGTAAAGGACACAGCGACTGTCAGATGAGGCTAAAATTGACCTACGTATATGCAAGATGGTACATGGTGGAAAATTATTGCTGCATAGCACCTTGAACATATATCCCTATAGTGATCAATGCTGGTGGCACCATCATGCTGTGGAGATGTTTTACTTCAGGCAACAGAAGCTGGTAAGAGCTGTTGGTAGAAGGTTGGAGGTGCAAAGGACTTAAAGACTGGGTAGATTTCCATCTTCTAGCAGGACAACAAGTTTAATCATACAGCCGAGCTGTAATGGAATTTTAGTTCAGTTATGTTCAGGTATGTCAAACTCAGGTCTTCAAAAGCTGGGCCTTCCAACTTAAAGACATCTCTCTTGTCCAACAAACCTGAATCAAATGCCGTAATTACGTCAAGTTCTCCAGAGTCCTGCAAAGGACCTAATTATTTGATTCAGGTGTATTAAAGCAGAGACGCATCTTAAAGCTGCACCAGACCTCGAGAACTGGATTCTGACATACCTGGTTTAGATGAAAGTATAATAAAGGGTGAAAATGTCCTAGTCAAAGCCCTGACCTAAATTATTATATGTAAAATAACCTTTTTCAAATCACCTCACAATGATTTACTGATAGCTAAGTTTTTCCGGCTAGGCGCTCCTTTGGTTTAATAAAAAGCCCCCGCCACTGCAATAAAATAAACTACACTGTTCTTTGAAACATAGCACCACTACCTGTCAAGTGTAATTATTTCAAGTTTAACTATTTATTACTCTCTCTATTAATTAAACTGGCCCCCCTCTAGAGCAGAGGTCTTCAACAGGGGGTCCGTGACCCCTAGGGGGTCCACGGAGGTACTGCATGGGGGTCGCAAAACTTTTGGTTGATTCATATTTTTTTTTTATATATTTCCTCCTGAATTGAAATGTCTTTAAATCCACATTAACATGAATTCAACACACTGTAGTAAACAGATAAATGGAGGCAGAAGATGTCTTTTAGTCATCAATGCACACATTCAGCGACACACAGGAGCTCGTTCAAGCTGGGCACCGTTTCATTCACAACACCTGACCCATCAACCAGGAATCAAAATCAGACATACTTTAATAATCCCAGGGACAAATTACTTTAGTTACATTACTCCATCTGTAATAGAGTGACTATAGGACCAGTTTGATAGAACACAATTTCATACAATATATATAATTAGAGGGTCCCCGCTCCATCTGGTCATCAGTTTGGGGTCCTTGGTCTGGAAAACGTTGAAGACCCCTGCTCTAGAGGGCACCCCGCCCAACTTTGGGATTGAGTAATATATAGAGTCACATAAAATACAATGAAGCTCATGGCTGCAAATTTAGAAAACTGAAAAAAAGCCTGACGGCCATCGGTGTAGCCTCGCCGATAACTCACAGAAGAATCCATGGCCAGGCCGATGCAAAGTCTTCGAAGATCCGGATACCAACGTCCCTAGCACTGAAGCCATTTAATATGTCCCTAATGAAAAGTAAAAAGAAAAAGATAAGTTGAATTAAAGCTGCCACTCTTTCAAACCAAATGTGAGCAGCACTGAAGAAAGGACAGTTTCTATAAATTTGTGCTCTACTACACGGCAATGGCTTACGGGATATATTTTACCTCCACTACTATTCCAGTCAGACACAAAAACACACAAACACACAAAAAAATTTAAATATGACATTAAAAACTCAGCAAGATTATCAGGTTAAAAAAGTACAAATAAAAACACACCTTACACAACTTACATCTTAAGACAATGCTTTACAAAGACATTATAAGACAGATGAACAAACCAACCATCACCAATATGCTACACTACAGCTGATAAAAAAAAATAACTATTACCACTGACCCTGAGCTGGCAATGAAGAAATGGAAAAAAACAGCAGGGATGTTAAAGCCATGGTTTAACATTTGTTAATGTTTTTCTTTCAGTAGGGGCCTGCGTCTTACCCGGTGCCGTTCTTGATGAGGTTTGATGTCTCGTTAATTGAAGAGGGCAAACCTGGGACTTTGGAAAATGCATCAGGGATATTACCAAGTGCTTGGATGTCAGGGAAACATCTACCCAATGCTAAAACATGAGAAAAAAAGCACATTCAATCAGGCTGAAGCTTAAAGAGCCTAACAGGAAATAGACTTTTTAAGTTGGTAAAAGTGATAAATATTTAAACAAGCAGCAACAGTCCAGACGTATAATCAATAGAGGTCAAACATTTACTCACCTGGGGTTGTGGGCATGAAGAAAAAAGGACACAGCTCTTTGTTCACAATTTCTGCAACAGTCTAAAAATAGATCAGATACACTGTTTAAACTTTGAAACCCAGGATTAGGGCGTAACTGCAGCATCAAAGACCTAGAGCTTACAAAGTTGGTTGTTTCCAGGTCAATTGATGGAACACATATATTTTGCTCAAATACTTCTTTCGGTTTCTTTATGTAGTCCAGAGGTCCAACAGCCCAGAACTCTTCGGGACACGTTTTTACACAAATCTGCAGGTAAAGAAAGAAACACATTTTTTAGGTTTAGAAAATAAAACAGAATCTGTTAGAAACAGTGTGAAAGAGTGAAGTCTAGCAGCCATCTGTACCTGTGTGGTTGGGCACTGGAAACCGTTCAGGGCGGTTGCCATCACATTGACAGATGTGGCACATTTTAGGATATCAAAGTAAAACAGGTTCGGTCGATCTCTGAGGAGTAAAGGAATTTTTTTTTATGATTTATTGCTTTTAAGCACTGCTGCACCAAAGTTGACCTACCAATTGATTTTTCATTATGTAACATTACAACCACACATTTCAATGTATTCCAAGCAACTGTCCCCAAATGAAGTAGTGCATAATCATGAAGTCAAATTCTACATTTAATTTTTCTAATTAGTAACAAATAAAACATCAAAATGTGTGGCATCATGAATCTTCTAAGGGCCCTTCTATTGGTGCAGTGGCTTATCTGTAGCTGAGAGCAAGCGGCTGAATAAACTGATCAGGAAGGCCCGCTCTGTGATTGGATGCCCTCTGAATGCAGGAGGTGAGAAACAAAGGATCCTAACTAAATTAACAACTCTGTTGGATAATGTCGCCCACCCCATGCAAGAAGCTGTTGCAGAACTCTAGAGCTCCTAAATGCACCACGGAGCGTTATCACAGATCCTTCCTCCCAGCAGCTGTAAGACTTTATAACCACCGCTGTTCCCAACAACCTCACTAAATTGTTACACTCATGCTGATTTTGCACAGTCTATCTTCATTAAATACCATGCTGCTGTCATGTTGCACATCTCTGATGTTGCTGCTATTTTCATATATCTATTACTTTAAAAATCTCTCCATAGCTGTATATTGTTTTTTTTAATTCTCCAGGTGCACAGTTTTGCATTGCTAAAACACTTTAAAGTACAGTATCTTATTGATCACCTTTTAACTCTTCACTAGAATGTTATTGTCATACATTTTTCTAAGGTCCACATTTGTGCGACAATATATTCTATAACCTTTTTGCTACTTTAAAAAAACAGACTTTTCCCCGTGTGGGACAATAAAGGGATTTTATTGTCTATTCTATGCTAAATAGAGCCCATGTTTATGTCATTTCATCTATGATTAGTGACCAAACAGCATAATGGAGACCGAGCATCACAGCAGGCAGGTCGGGGAGAAAGTTAAAGGGTTGGAGGAAGGTTCAGGTTCATCTCCAACTGGCACTAAGCACTAAGATGTAGAGCTCCATTAGGAAAATGTGCCAGCAGGACAACAGCTGGCTGCACATTGAACTTTTCTGGCCTTGATGGAAGACTGTCTAGTAGGGAGCTTTCATGTTTGCAGTTTGCTAAAAGGCATATAGGAGTACAAAGAAAACACGTGATTCCCTGTTTAAAAAAGACCAAAACAAAACCACCAAAGCTGCAAAGCACTGATTTAGACTAGAGTATATTCTCCTGCTAGAATTCTGGACAAGTATTGAAAACTGCTCTTCAGAGATGCTCTCATTCTGGAAACAAGGGCTCTAGATGTGCAAAGCACATCCTCTATACTAGGAAAAATACAATTTTCTGAACCACAAAAGGTTTTTTTGTTTCCTTTCAAGGCAAGATTATTTCTGTTTGAGGTCAAAATAAAAATATAAACAATATTACAAGATTAAAGAAATAAGAAATTTTCCTAATTAAGGCAAAACCAGAAAGGAGAAGTCTCTGAACGATCAAAACTGGCAGAATTTAAAGTAAATAAAAAAAAAAA